CCACTGCACTGCAATGACCATGTTGCCATCCATTTCGCCTTGCTTTACCGCGTATCTATGCGTTACGATGACAGCTTAAAACTGTATGCAAATAGCTATAGAAATTAAACACATCATGGAGAAAAAATAACTATCATATGGCTAACACGGCAAGAGGATCAGCATCCAATAAGAATCACCAATTTTGCGTAGGTTGAGTCACGGTAATAACATTAATTAATCAGGTTTTACGTTCGCTTATGTGCTTCCGTGCCGGTCAACTATTAGTGAGCATGCGAATTATGCACGCAAAAGATACCCAAATATTTACGAATAATTATATTGTTGATGCTCGATCGCTGGCATATCATTTAGATAAATATCGTCCGAATGTCGTAAGTCGTAAGGTTGTACTATTTAACTGCTGACAATTTTGCAAATTATTTAATAATTTTACTGCATATTATTAACTTCCTGAACTATGCCGGTTTTGTTTAATTTAATAAAAACGATATTGCATTATTCACTTTCTCATTTGACATACGATACGGCTTCCTGCCTACAATGGCACGCTCGTGATTTCACCGAAAAAATTACATACATGCTCATTTACACGTATTCCAAATCCTAATTTATCTGACCGCATTTTAATTGCTTCAAATATTCAGAACTTTGTTCTTTCAATCACAAGTAGTACAAGTATTATTACATTCAATGGTAGTATTTTATTCTGCTTTTAATCTGTATCTGTATTAACTCGCAATGTATTATCTGGAGAATTCTATATTTCAAATATATTGTGCGGCATGCTAATGCATCGCATTATTGTTACATGCATTTCTTTATCCTGATGATGACTGAACTATAGCCCAGACGTTGGTAAATATAAAAATAGGTACGCTAAGCGTACATGTATCTGCTCATGGTGATGCACTGTTGCCAAGAGCTTCAATCAATACTCAGTAACTTGTGAAAATATTAAGAGACTGGTGTTTAAATGAATATATTTTTTTATAAACATCACAAATATATATTATAGACATTATACACAGTCAAAGTGCGACTGTGACGAAAATTCATCATTGAGAAAATTCCCTTTTTTGCTAGTAACGACTTTATTATTTCACCAAAAATGCTTGTGTAAGATTTCAGGCGAACATGATTAACGACCACGGAGTTACGAGCATTTGAAATGTCCAAAATCGCTGCCAGCAATAACAGGTGGGCAATTTGTCGACCCTGACCAAAAATAGCGGCTCATTTCTTCTCGAGTTGCCATTTTCGCTTTACTATCAAATATGTTTGTGAAACAGTTGATAATCTTACTGAAGAAGGCCAACGGTTTCTGAAAACCTAAAGTACGTCGAAATCCAGCTTTGGAATAGACTATATTTTCACCGGGGAAACATGAACTAAATGGGTACTTACATCAACACTAAATTTTGCTCGTGCCTGCAGAGCTAGTTGGATTAAAACAGATGTTAAGAAGTACGTAAGTGAAAATGTGAATTTTGTGAATTATACTTTCATTAAAATGTTTCAGAAGGGCTGCTAATGCCAAAGTACAAGTGCGACAGAGCTGTCTGTATACCCATATTTCAATGTTTATGTTGAAATGACCCATCTTCTTTGAGGTATAGCTTAAAAATTATGGTATGCTCATCACTTGAAACTAGCTTTAAATCAAAGTTTTATCTATAGTCTTTTTATTAGAATTAAAATCATTTATGGGAAAAATGTGCCAAAGGGTTGAAATTGCCCTTGTAAATGTGCACTATTTTGGACATGTTTGGGTTAATATTTCGAAAAGGTGTTCTGGAAGGAAAATATGTCTTGAACAATACCGGTTGACCCCTAAATTATAACTAGTGTCATGTAAATCACAGAAAATTGAAAAAAATCTGGTCCATACACAATATTTTGGATTCTATAAGGTCCTGAATGGGGCTTATTTCAATGTTGAATCTGTTTACATGGAATAACTTAGAAAATTGAATAAGTCAAGAATTTGACTATGGTCATCATCCCAAACCAGGTTTTTCTAATTGCTTTTTCACCTGGGTTTGTGGCAATACCAGTTATGCGACCACGAAAAATGCGCGCGACACTTTTTTTGGACACTGAAGATGGTGACATTTGATGTTGTCATATATTGTCATCCTCTTATCATAGCATAACTTAGCTTATTTTAGTGAGTTTGTTAAAGAGTTGTGCTCATCGTATGCCTGTAGTATCTAAGATTTTTCCATGGCATTATATGATAAATTTGGTTTCTATTTTCTTTTATTTTTAGGTGATAGTATCTGTTCACTTGAGTGTTGGTATCCAATTTTGGTCAAGTTTCAATTATTATTTCACATTCCTTTATTCAAATATCCAAATAAATGGAATATGACATCAAGCTGGAGGACTATATCCTGTTTCCAAACTTGTTTTGTAAATATAGAAAATGACAACTATGTTGTTGTAATAAAAACTATTGTTTTTATATGCATATTTAATTTTTAAAATTACATTTCATTCTTTGTTAAAATGTGTACCGGGAATACTGAAATCTTTCAGATCAGCTAACAGTACTTTTATAACTTATATAGCCAAGTGTTCTATCTATTTCTGTTCAGCTTAGACTCGACAGCTGAAGGGTAAACTATAGATTAGATTTTTCAAAAAAATGAGCTTGCCTGTTTTCATAGCATAAAAAGGAATAAAATAAAGCAAAAGAACTTATTTTTAATTTAAAATCTTTGGACTGTACAGCTTAATGTTTTCCACTAAATAGTACAAAGTTTTCGTTCATTTAAAACCAGATAAACCCACGAAACACTTCTAAATATACGTCGCGATATTGATTTTCTTCGCGCATGCTCAGACAAATTGCCCACCTGTTGTCCGCCATTAAAATCCGCCATATCGATTTTATGTTGTCACGAAAGGCTTCTGACGTCATAGTCTCAACACACCGCAAGGGCACAAGTAGATCAGCGAGCTCACACGGAGTTTGAAAAAACAGCTCGATGGTTCATCCTCGTTTGTATCAGTCTTGTTTGCAGTTTCGGCCAACTCGTTTAAAATTTAAACCTATTTTCGATAATATGAAAACAACACTTGTAGCGTGAATTTATAATTGATCTGGACTTATCAGATTATGTAAATATGTATGTAGCTAAAATATATTCATATTTGACTAAACCTTACGCCTGTCTCTTCCATGTTCTTAGTTGCGCAGGCGCTTTCCTCCAAATAGTAGGCACAGAATCTGGTTTGAGTCGTCGTTGCAAACCATCCAAATGAAATAAACGCTCAAAACAATCCGTTGAAAAATGGTTCAAACAAATCATGAATCGAATTTATTCCCGATATTCGTCATTTGGGCTCTTATGCAATGATCTACCCGCGTTTTTGTCAGAAGTATTGCTGCAATCTTGTACAACACAACGCGATGAAGGCATGATTGAGTTTTACTATAGTCGCGTATATATTTTTATGTTGCACGCCCAGCGAATGTTGAGACTATGACGTCACAGACTTCCGAACACTTGAACTTTCCAATATGGCGGATTTTAATGGAGGCTGCCAAAATTCGAAATTCATCGTAGCATAACCCAGGCCAAATATGAGATATCACGCTAAAGGTCAAATATTGAAGGTCATTCATGAGTAACAAATGATGACAAGTATGGAAATTAGAAGTATAATAGATGCATATAGTTCTTGAATTGAATGATATAATTCCGCATACCAGATCAATGCAATAAGATTTTGTCGTGGAAGAAAATCCAATAAACAGAATAGTAGGTTTAGTTTTGTACATTGTGTGCTATAATTAAGATCCCATTATGACATATAGTTGTTGCACGTTGTTGATTGTAAGACAATATAGTATGGGATAGGGGAAGGGGGATATAAATTGCTTACCTGGTGTTCTTGGCAAAGACAATCAGTTGCAGACATAGGGTGAATGAAGAAGTGAGCATCCCCTCCAGGATATATAGTTATATACTGCAAGTTGATAATTATGACTGCTTGCAACTGTTACTATAAGTATTGATATTCCAATCTGAAGCTGAATCTCTCATATCTTGCAATACGATCATGCTATATACAATCAAATCGTGTTTAAAGCACTTACTCGGAAATGTTACAGATATCACGATGGTAAGTTGACATGATACAGAATGCCTTGATTTCCTCTGCCATGTTCCGCTGAAAGAGTTCATCTCGGAGAGACCACTATATAAATACCAAATTAGTAAATACTTGAACTATAATAAATGCATCACTGGAAAATTTGAAGTACGTACAATTTGTCGAATTGTACGTGCACTTTCTATATAATAACGTTTTAAATCATAATAATCACACTGTACTGAAAGAACTTCCATTATCAAAAATTTACAATAATTACCCTTCATTTCGAACATTGACGAAAACTGAGGAGTATCAAATATAATTATGTCATCTATATATATATACAGTTAACGTAGGCTACTATATATAAATCGAACTTCACTGAAGGAGCATTTCAGAATTGAGTTAACTCAGCTAATCGTTATGCGGTACGATTTTTAAATATTAATCACACACGCCCTTTACAGTATACGGCTCAAAATGTTAGTCAACATCAATAGAATTTACACTGTTTACAGTTATTAGGCTATATCTGGACATGGTAAAATATCCTAATAAGACTATTTCTAAGGCTTTGCATGGTGGGCCCTTGCAATTATAAGTACATGAAAAAACAAACCTGATCTGCTTGGAAATCTTTCAATACGACATTGATTGCGTTATCAATATTTTCCTGTGGTACTGGCACTGTAAATGCTAAGCCGAGAAGGTCGGAGATAAATTTTCCACTGATTGCATTTTGCACACCACTGGCTGGAACTGATGATCCTATCTGGGGATCAAGAACGACGAAACTGACACTGCCAGTAGCAGGACCAATTTGGACAAGAACATCAACCTTGGTGAAGGTTCTGATAAGGAAATACATGTATGTTTTGACAAAACACATTGTTATAAATGAAATCCCTCTTTGATATCACCATTAACTGTAATAAGTTTACTTTGAAGGGAAGTTGCTACTACCATGCAGTTGCAACCAAATAAGTTTAAAACGCGTTCCAAAGATCTTTGAACAACTCTAAACTTTGAATTTGTACTAAAATTTGTAATATTTTGCGGAATTTTCTCATTTTTCTGCCAAAATGCTGTTTAATTGCCAAGTCATCGTGATTTTGCCCCAAATTTCGAAGAATAAGGCGATTTCCTGCGAAATTGTGTCTAAATTGTATTGATGTATAATCTTGATATTTGCTGACAGCAATTTTTCTGGCTTACGTTTTTGTTATTTTTCTATAATTTGAGTGTGTTCAGTCTATACCTCCAAAATCAATGAAAATCGAAGGAATTGGTGAAAACAAACTTATTTTGAATTTTTTAGCTATTTTCGCTGAATATTCTGATATAAATGTTCATTTTACTGCAGAAAACATAACTTTTAGAAGAAATAAAGAACTGTCTGCTAAAATGCATCAGCAATAGAATAACTGGTGTAACATATATGGGTGTATGAATTTCAGAATTTCGCTGGAAATAGAATAAACGATCATGCAACATATAGTTACCGAATCGTGTGTCTGAAATTCAGACACCCATATACCTCGCAATAGAATATAAGGGTGTCTGAAATTCATACATATAACAAATTTAGCTGAATTCAGTGAAAAATGATCCGCAATGCGGCTATTTTATAGGCATACTGTCGTTCTCAAAAAATTTCTATTGTAAGGGTAAGAAAACTTGAGAATTTTCATATAAGGTATTTTTTCCTCGATTTATAAATTGTTAAACTCACTGCATGAAATCGATATCTAGATTCACTGCGGACGATTATAAGTTGCAGATTCGGTTATAAGTTGCAGTTTCGGACAGTTATAATGAGATCATTGGCAAAAAAATAAAAAAATTCAAAGACCCATTTTTTGAAAAATAACCTTTTCTAGCGGAGACAAATATAAGGAAAACCCCATTTTCGTTTGGAACGCGTGACCTTTGAATTATACTGTAAGGCAGTCTGAATGTCAGACATTCCTATGTTTTGCATCAGTTATATATTTATTGTGTATTGCCAGTAACTCTTGCATCCAAATATAGGGGTGTCTGAAATTCAGACGCCCTTATTTATTTGGAAGATATAGGGTGCAATTTCTATTTAATTTAATTTAATTTATATTTGGTGCAATATATATACAGGGGTGTCTGAATTTCAGACTCCCTTAGTTTTGGAAGCAAGATATAGAGGAGTCAGAATTTAATTCCAGACACCGTATTTATTGTACATGTATATAGTGGGATCATGACTTGATATAAAAATAGGTACGCATTGCGTACATGTGGGTAGCCGAAAGCTAGATAAAAAATAGATAGAAAGTTAGATAAAATATATATATATATATATATATATATATATATATATATATATATATATATATATATATATATATATATATATATATA